TCTTTCTCTCCCTCTCCTTTGCCCTCACCCTCTCTCTCTCTCTTTCACTTGGGGCCTTGCTTTGCACTTTCTTGGTTGGCACTAAACCACTTAAAACACCTCCAGCCTGACTTTTTGCTGATTATTTTGAAGAAGAAATCTCTTTTCTGTAGGCAGGTCTGGAACTGCAATCTTCTGAATCTCATCTTCCTGAGTAGCTAGGATTATAGGTGTGAGCTACTGGCAGCTAGCCTCAATGTTTTGGAGTGAATTTAAACTGTATATAATAACTTGAATTTATCTCCATTCAGCAGTTGCATAATTTTTTTTTTGCGGGGATGGAGGGTGGGGGTGGGGTGTCATCTTACCCTCTGCATTTATAAGGGCTGTCCCTGACCTGCTGTTACTCACGCCTGAAAACCTACCTACTCAGGAAGCTGAGATCTGAAGATTACAGTTCAAAGTCATCAGGGCAGGAAAGTCCACAAAACGCTTATCTTCAGTGAACTACCAAAAAGCTGGAAGTGGAGCTCTGGTTCAAGTGGTAGAGTACCAGTTGAGTGAGAAAAAGCTAAGAGACAGCTCCCAGACCTGGAGGCCAAGCTCCAGGACACATGCACACACAAAAGGGGAGTCTTCCAAAATTAGGCTTCTTAAAAGTTACAGATACCATGTAACCAATTGGGGCAAATGTTCTCTTTGCATGCTCTCACTTGAGCGCCGAGCAGCGCTGCAAGTGCCCTGGAGTTGGGCAGAAGCAGAAGAGACGCTGGCCAGAGAATAAGGGGATGCAGAAGGATAATTTGTGCAAAGAAATGTCTCATCCTGCTCAAAGGAGTGAAGGCCAGGCCCCAGCTCGGGGGTGCAGGCCTTGTGGCAGTGCAGGAATGCCCTTCAGATGCTTTCTCAAAGCTTTGCTTTATTTGGGAACTTACTGTGTGTGGTGGAGAACAGCCCATCGGAGGCATTTGAAACATGAGGAACATTATATAGAAGGGAGTTCATGACAACACCATTACTACTATGTTCTCACCCTTCTTTTCTTGGCTGGTCTACAGGCAGTGTTATATCTGTCCACTGTCTCACTGCTGTATTTCCACCTTCCGCACTGGAAACTGGGTAGACCCAAGTCACTCAGGGCCAGAGGAATCCTTGGAAGACTTACTTGGTATGGTTTTTAAATTCTCCCTTCTATTTGTCCTGCTTCCCAATAGACATCCAAAGAGCAGTGATTTGCTGATTAGCCAGAGGGGGAGCAAGTACAAACTAGATGTGAAGTGAAATACCAGCTCCTGCGTATAGTTATCTCTGTCTGTCTGTCTGTCTGTCTGTCTGTCTGTCTGTCTGTCTATCTATCTTTCTATCTTTCTTCCTGGCTTGAACTCAGTGCCTAAATGCTGTCCCTGAGCTATTTTGCTCGACTAGTGCTCTATTGCTTAAGCCACAGTTCTACTTCTGAGTGAGTCACCTGCACTTTATCTTGTCATTTCAGAGGATGTGAAAGTACTTCATTGTGGTTTTGTTTCCCTGTTCATTTTTACCTGCCTCGTGGGAATTTTTTTTGCTTTCATTTTTTATGGGAGATCTTGGTGCATTAAGGATGCCAGTTACATTAGTTATTTCTAATAGTCATTAAACAGCCACTTAGAGATTTGGGCTGTAAGTCCCATGAGATTGCAGTTCTCTCAAGGTGTTATTGGGGCTGAAAAAGCCACACTGCTGCTTTCTGATGGTTGTTCACTGTCCTCAGTTCCTGGCTGGCTGCTGACTGCAGAGCTTGCAGTTCTTGTTTAACCTAATCTGCTCATGCTCTTGGTCATACTAGCCAGGCCTTGTACAACTCGGGGGTGGGGGGTGGTGAGGATGGCACCAGACGTGAGCATCAGGAGGCGGGAACATTCGGCTCTACTTGGAGGCTCCTCCTTTGTCAGTTGCTTGTGTTGATAATATTCAGTTTCTCTGGGGTCTATGGATAAGTAGAAGTTCTTCATTTCAATGTGCATTAACTAGCTTCTTGTAACTCTTCTTTTTTTAATCTCATGAAAATGGTTCTTTTGCCTTTCACATGTAGGTTCTTAATTCATCTATGTTTTATTGTGATGTTACAAGGTAAGGAGCCTTGTGTTTTTTTTTCTTGATCTTTTTGGTGGTTCTCGGGTTTGAACTGGGGGCCTCATATGAACACTTGATACTCCAGCTCAGGAGCCATTTTTTCCCCCTTTTTCATTTGCTTTATCGGTTCAAATAATTGTTAGTTGTTTTAATTATTTTAAAAGTCATCCCCACAGGTCAGCATTACCTTTTTATTTTTATTTTTTTGTCAGTTGTGGAGCTTGAACTTAGGGCCTGGGCACTGTCCCTGAGCCTCTTCGTGCTCAAGACTAGTGTTCTACCATTTATAGCACTTCTGGGTTTTGAGTGGCTAGTTGGAGATAAGAATCTCATGAGGACTTTTCTGGTTTGAACCGCAGTCCTCAGATCTCAGCCTCCTGAGTAGCTAGGATTATAGGTATGAGCCACTGGTGCCCAGCTAGTAGTACCATTTTGTCATTAAGTTTCTAAGGATGAGCTCTTAATTTGAACTATAGCTTAATAGTGAGTTTTTACATCTTGTAGGAGAGATACATGATCACTCAAAGACCTCTGTAAGTCAGTTTCTTGGTTTTGACTTTTGCAAATTTTGCTCCAGTCATTGTCTGAAGATAGGCCTGTGATTGCAAGTTCTCACCAAGGACAATTACAATGATTTTGTTCTTGAAGCTGTATGTGAAGACAGGTATGATTTGTGGCGAGATGGTTAATTTCAGGTGTCAGGGTTAACAGATAGCTGGATCCCTGGTAAAGCCTTATTACTGCAGCTGAGAGGGTGTTTCCTGTTGGGATTGGCATGTGAGCTGGTGGGCTGAGTGGGGAAAATCCAACCTCAATCTACCTGGGCACCATCCAATTAATTGGCTGGGTTAGAGAGAGCAAAAATGCAGAGGTAAATTCTTTTCATGAGCTGGAATACTCTTCAGACTTCAGAATTTCATGTTCTTGGACCTTTGGACTTAAAGCATTGGACCCCAGGTTCTGAATCCTTTGGCCATTGGCTTTGCTGGCTCTCAGATATTTGGAGTAGGCCTGAGCTATGCTACAAAACCCCAGGACCTCCAGCAGGCAGATAGACTGCCATGGGACTTAGTCATATAAGCATGTAAGCTAATTCCCTAACAAATAACTTCACTTATCTCTATTTATATAAATATGCTATTGGTTCTTTCTGGAGAGCAGTAACAACCTCCTTTGGCTGGCAGATGGTTTTTTACCGCAGACCATTAATAGGGTGTCTTTAAGGATCCCTATTTAAACAGAGGTATTTCAAGTTCAACTCCTCACAGTCTCTCATAAGTATTTGCCTCCAGGTCTGCCAGTGTATTTGTTACCTTACAGAACTGATCTAAGTTTGCTATACTTTTCAGGGGATATGGTGGGGAGAGGACTTATGTTCTGTTCGTTCCCTTGAGCTTAACAGTGGATTAAAGGATTTAGGTAGGTAGGGGTAGGTGTGCGTGTTCGTGTGTGCGTGTCATAGACTTTCTTGCCCAGGCTGGCTTTGAAGTGTGATCCTCAGATCTCAGCCTCCCTAGTAGCTGAGTACCCACTGGTTCTGGGTAAGATTTAGCTTAAAAAGCATTAACTACCATGTCAAAAGTAGAGTTGTACTTAGTTAGATTTTTTTCCCTTTCAATAAATAATATGGCAGCTTCTTTTAAAGTGGGGTCAGAGGGCAGGGAAATCAGGATTCTAGGCTGTTATGGAAATAAAGTATGATTTGAAACTAAAGTAGGCATGTTTAAGATGACCAAATTATAATGTAACACCTGTAATTAATCTTACTTTTCAAAGGCCATTTGCTGTTGAGAAGATATTTTTGCAACTTGAGAAAATGCATAAATACAATTTGATATAACCTTAATGTTATTTAAAAGTTAGGAAGAGGGGCTGGGAAGGTGGCTCAGTGGTAGAATACTTGCCTTGCATGCATGAGGCCCTGGGTTTGATTTCTCAGCACCACATAAGCAGAAAAAGCCGGAAGTGGCACTATGACTCAAGTGGTAGAGTGCTAGCCTTGAGCTGAAGAGCTCAGGGATAGCGCCCGGGCTCAGAATTCAAGCCCCACAACCAACCAAAAGAAAATAAAGAAAATGGCAGTGTCTTGAATCTTGCATTCTAAGTTTTTTGTAGAGGAACAAAACCAAGGTTACCGATGAACATCCCAGTATGTTATGGGAAGTGAACCTAGAAAATTCATTGTATATATCAGCTAGAGGAAATGAGAGTCCATCTACCTTTTCTATCTAGTTTAAGAAATTCTTGCTACTCAGGGCAGGCTGAGATCTTGAGTATTCAGGGTTGAAGCCAGCCCACACAGAAATGTCTATGAGGTCTTTTCTTTCCAGTTACCAAGCAAAAAGCTGGAAGTGGAGCTGTGGCTCATATGGCAGAGTACTAGTAGAGTGGGAAAGCTATGGGACTGTACCCCAGGCCCCAAGTTCAAATCCCAGTACTAGCATAAAAACAAGAAAAATCTTAGTCAAGGTTGTGTTATGGTTTTGCCTTTGCATGTAGGTTCTTAACTCATGTCTTTAGGTGTCACCCTGACTGGATTTAGGAGTCCTTGGTAACGGTTGAAGCATTATTTCTGGTTGTGTCTGGGAGGATGTTGCCAGAGGAGATGGTGGTTGGTTTACTGTCAGGATCTAGTGGTTAGCGAAGGAAGTGCCTTTGGAGGCCAGCTAAGTAAGATGAGTTCACAGTAGACAGACTAGAGGCCAGGCTGGGAATGTGACTGAGTGGTAGAGTGCTTGCCTAGCATGCATGAAGCCTTGGATTCAATTCCTCAGTACTCCAAAAACCAAAAAAGCCAGAAGTGGCACTGTGGCTCAAGTGGTGAGTGCTAGCCCCAAGCACAGAGAGGCTCAGGAATAGAGCCCAGGACTGGCAAAATAAAAATAAAACACTGGATACAAGTGTTTCACAAAAAGATATATTTTCATTCATGACTATTTACAATCTTTCATATTTAAAGAATATCATACAACTGATACCTTCTGAAATGTTTCATGCTTTAACAAAGAAACTCTTATGTACATTTATCTGACATGAAATTAAAACTAAAATAGCCAGATACTCTATAATAGAAGATTGATCTCTTATATTGGCCAATCAACATTACAATAGTTACCCTTAATAATAAATTACTCATTTAAAAATCAGTAGTAACTTTAAACAATTCATAAATAAGTGTGCTCTGTGCAACTTACACGTTTAATATCCCATGGCTTTCAAAAGCCTGTACATTGTCAGATTTCCATGTATTTATTAATTTGTCAGGTAGGCTTTTCCCAAGGAGACAGTGGGAAAGCTTGGCCCTCGCGGTCTTTGGACAGCTCAAAGCTCTGCCTGCTTTAGAGGAGGTTCCAGTTTTCGGGAGAGGGCAGTTAGAATCTGATTGAACTTCTCGTATCTCTCCATCTGATTGACCTCAGCTCCTTTGCTGCCCCACAGCAATCGCATTTGGAACTCAGTCTTGAGGATCTCACTCATTTCTTCATCTGGTTGAAAACCTAATCAAGATGAAACGAAACAGGTAACCGGTTCTGCCTCCAAACAATACTAAAAGTGACTGCAAACTTGGTTGTTTCAAACTTGTTCTTCCACGATCTACTCACCCACCTTCAAGAAATTAAGCCACTGAGGCGAGCAGGAATGAAGTTTGTGTAGAAGCCCTAGGTTGAGATGCTATGTGTATTCACTGTTTGGCTGTGCAGATTAAGCTAGTGAATGTACACTTTAAAAAAAATGCCTAGAGGGGCTGGGAAGATGGCTCAGTGGTAGAGCGCTTGCCTTGCATGCCTGAGGGCCTGGGTTCGATTCCTCAGCACCACATAAGCAAAAAGAAAAAAGCCGGAAGTGGTGCTGTGGCTCAAGTGGTAGAGCGCTAGCCTTGAGCTAAAGAGCTGAGGGACAGTGCCCAGGCCCAGAGTTCAGGCCCCACGACCGGACCCAAAAAAACAAAACAAAAACAAACAAAAATGCCTAGAAAGCTCCCTAATATTTCTTCATAGCTAATTCTTGTTCCTTCTCCAGGCCTTCACCAACCCTCAGACCTGCTTCTCTTTACCTTCTCTACAAATGTGATATGAATGAAGCTAGGCATAGGCACTTTCTGTCAGGTTTCTCTCTGCATGATGGTTTGCAGTATTAGCAACAATGCACTCCTTTTTATTGCTGAGGAGTGTTTATTTGTATGGTCATACCAGGTTTTGTTTATGTCCACTAACTGCTGGATAATCAGGTTGTTTCCAGGTTCTGGCTGTGAATAATGTTAAAATTTTCGCACAGGTCTGTCTGTGGACATATGCCTTCCTTTCTCTAGGAGCAGAATTACTGGATCAAATGATAAGTTCATTTGTAAAGAGGTAGTCATAAAGCTAGACCCTGATGTCTCAGGCCTTGTAACCTTAGCTACCCAGGAGGCTAAGATCTGAGGATCATAGTCCAAAGCCAGTCTGGGTAGATAAGACATGTGAATCTCACAGACTTATCACACAATTAACCACTAAAAAGCCAGAAAACAAGCTGTGACTCAAGTGTAGAGTGCTAGCCTTGAGCCCCAAAACTCAGGGACAGTACCCAGTTCCTGAGTTCCAACTATTCCAAAATGGTTCTTCCATGTGATATTTGCACCAGCAACATAGGGGCCATTTCCTTCATGTATAGCCATTTTTTTTGGGGGGGGTGTTTAATAGCCATTCTATGTATAATGAGGTAGTATCTTATTGTGACTCAAACTTATATTTCTCTAATAATTATGAAACTTTCATGTGGTTGCCATTTGTATATCTTCTCTGATGGGGTGTCCGTTCAAGTCTTTTTAATTTTTCTATTTAAATACTATTTTCTCACTTTGTAAAGGGGTTTGTATTTAGAGAATGTCATTATCATATACTTTTATAAAGTATTTTCCCCTAGTGTGAGTCTCACTTTTTCACTTAGTTTTGAAGGGAAAATATTTTTTTGTGTTCTAATCATCTTTGCCTAAATCAAGACTACAAATATTTTATGTTTTCTTTTTTCTTTTTTTGGGTCCGGTCATGGGCCTGAACTCTGGGCCTGGATGCTGTCCCTCAGCTCTTCAGGTCAAGGTTAGCGCTCTACCACTTGAGCCACAATGCCACTTCTGGCTTTTTTGTTTTCTGCTTATGTGGTGCTGAGGAATGGAACCCAGGGCCTCATGCATACAAGGCAAGCACTCTACCACTGAGCCACCTTCCTAGCCCCTATGTTTTCTTATATAGGCATTATACTCTAGCTTTTATATTTTGGGTCTATGATGCATTTTGGATTGATTATCATGTATTATATGATGTAAGGATTCAGATGTGTGTGTGTGTGTGTGTGTGCATTTTGGATTGATTATCATGTATTATATGATGTAAGGATTCAGATGCGTGTGTGTGTGTGTGTGTGTTGGTACTGGGGCTTGAACTCAGGGCCTGTATGCTGTCCCTGAACTTCTGTGTTTTAGGCTAGTGCTTTACCACTTGAGCCACAGCTGCACTTCTAGCTTTTTGGTGGTTAAGAGTCTTATGGATTTTCCTGCCTTGGCTGGCTTTGAACCTTGATCTCCAGATCTCTTCCTCTTGAGTAGCTAGGATTATAGGTGTGAGCCACTGGCACCCGGCTTGAATTGTATTTTATCGAGTGAATTATCTTGGTACCGTTGTCAAAAATCATTTATATGGGCCTATTTCTTGATCCGCAGTTCTGGTTTTAAGGAAGATGCTCAGGCAGCTCTACCAGAGGAGCAGGAAAGCTGTGTGGTCCTCATCCTTCACTGTTGCTGGAATATAAATGTACTCCCACCACCCAGATCGTAGCATCTTGAGGGAGGCGGGGAGAAACAAGTCTATAGTACTGGTACCTACAGCAGACAGTGCAAACTCTGCAGTTCTAAATTGTGGCTCTGAGGCAACAACCTCCTTTTAAGAGAAAATGATAGGCTTGTCCTGTCGCAGACAGCTCAGCAACTCATCGATCAAAGGGTGGGTCTTGGAAGAGTTCTAAAAATTCATCACCTGATCACTGCCATGGTAATGCCTGTCCCCTCCACAGAACCAGGGCAACTCTCTCCCTTCACCGAGAGCTGGACTCCCTGTGTCTTTAGCCTAGGTGGCCATGGCTCAGGTCCAAGCTCTTTTATGAGTCTGTGTTCTGTCCTCTGAAATGGAATCCTGTCCTTCTCATGTTTTCTGGCTAACTACTTCTGTGCTTTAACTGTCATTGGGATACATATTCTTTTCCTTCTGGAAGTTTTCTCCACATGACCCAATCAGTTGCTTCTAAGAGCACTGTGTTGCCCTTTTTCTTTGGCCAGTCCTGGGGCTTGAACTCAGGGCCTGGGCACTGTTCCTGAGCTTCTTTTGCTCAAGGCTAGCACTCTACCACTTGAGCCTCAGCACCATTTCCAGCTTTTTCTGTGTATGTGGTACTGAGGAATCAAACCTAGAGCTTCATGCATGCTAGGCAAACACTCTACCACTAAGACACATTCCCAGCCCCTGGCAGTTAGATAACTGTGCTCCGTCATTCATCCCAATTAAAAAATGCAGTTCCTACCTGCCAGGACCCTCTCTGCATTCATCCGGTAGCTGTCTGCAGCCTCAGCCATGAAGCGGGCTGTGGCCAAGTGGTTCAGCATCATTTCACAGCTTTGGTCATTTTTTTCCCACATGTCAGTTCCTTCAAATGTGACAGCCTGGCGCTCCATTAAGGTGACAAGAGGCATCAGCAGTGGAACTGATATGTTGTTTGGCGGGACACACGTGTTCTCTGAGGAACAAGGAGTAAAGTTTTCCCTATTAGGTTTTGTTGAAAGTCACAGAACAAAGTGACTCTCAGAGGTTTCTTTTTTTCTTTTTTGTTGGTCATAGGGCTTGAACTCAGCCTGGGCGCTGTCCCTCAGCTCTTCGGCTCAAGGCTAGGGCCCTACCACTTGAGTCACAGTACCACTTCCGGTTTTTTCTGCTTAGTGGTGCTGAGGAATCCAACCCAGGGCCTCATGCATGCAAGGGAAGCAGTCTATCACTGAGCCATAAGATACTTGTATCTGCAGACATTTCTTCAGGTGTTGCTGTCCTCTGCTCCCAAAGCCTCCATGAACCTCCCACAGCCTGCCCTGCATACAATAGAAGGCCTCACTCTGGGCCCTAGTATCTGCTTTGACAAACTGAACAGATACAAGCTAACAAACTGACTCTTGAGAGGCAGCATCCACTCTACTCTCCCCTCTCCCCCTTTCTTCTTCCCTCCCCTCTCTTCCCCACTCTCCTCTCCCCCTGCTCACCTCGACCCTCATGTAGGATCTTGCTGAAGGGCTTCAGCTGCTTCTCATAGAGAATGGCAGTCTGGGTGAAATGGTGCCTCAGGGCCATCCAGGTTTTTTCTAATCTGGTGATCTAGAAGCAATAAAGGTGCTAGTATTTAGAAAAAGCTCTTTCATTTTTAAAAATTTTTATTTACATGGTATGAAGGAATTGAACCCAGAGCCTCATGCCTGCTAGGCAAGCACTGTACCACCAAGCCACATGCCCAGCCCCAAAAGCTCTTTTTTTCTTTTGGTCGGTTGTAGGGCTTGAACTCTAGGCTTGGGCCCTGTCCCTCAGCTCTTCAGCTCAAGGCTTGAGCCACAACACCACTTCCAGTTTTCTAGTGGTTTATTGGAGATAAGAGTCTCACGGACTTTCCTGCCCCGGCTGGCTTTGAACTGAGATCCTCAGATCTCAGCCTCCTGAGTAGCTAGGATTACAGGCGTGAGCCACTGGCGCCTGGCCCAAAAGCTCTTTTTTAAAAGAGCTTTTTACAGGCTCATGCCTGTAAAAATAGATACTTAGGAGGGTTAAGATCTGAGGATTGTGGCTCATGCCTGTAAAAATAGATACTTAGGAGGGTTAAGATCTGAGGATCTAGGCTCCTGGACTGCCAGGAAAACAAATCTAGTTCATCTGGGTTAACCAGCAAAAAGCAGGAAGTAGAACTATGGTTCAAGTGGTAGAGTGCCAGCCATAAGTGAAAAAGCTAAGATCACTAGGCTCTTGAGAGTTCAATCCCCAGTAATGGCTTGTGTACACACACACAGTTATCCTTCTGCTTAAGTTTGGTAATAGATAATGTGCATGGTCAAAATGTCACAAGCAGTTGTGAGTAGAGAAAAAGATATCTCCTACCTCACCTTTTTGCTCTGATGGCCCATCCCAAAGAAATAGCTCTCCCCACTCCTGTGTGTGCAAATGTCTATTCACCACATCTTTTAAAATACGTGCATCACACTGTAGATGGAGTTGTTCCTGGCTTGGAAATGGTTCCACAGGAAAAATGGTTCCATAGAATAATTTGGTTTTTTTTAACTTGTGTATAATGCTCCACCATATGGATAAACTGTAGTTTAGTGTAGACCTAACAGGTTTAAGCCTATTCTGCTGTTACAAAATGACCTTGTAGTGCTTTTTACAAATGTGTATCTTGAGTGAAAATAATCTGGAAGGTAAGTTTCCAGGAGCTGCTGCTGGCCACAAGTGCATAGAGTTAAATGCTGACTCATGTTCCTGTATGTCCCACAGAGGTGTGTGTGTGTGTGTGTGTGTGTGTGTGTGTGTGTGTTGGTCCTGGGGCTTGAACTTGGGGCCTAGGCATTATCCCTGTTAGATGCACATACATACATACTCAAAGCTAGCACTCTACCAGTTGAACTATAGCTCTACTTCTGGCTTTTTTGGTGATTAGCTGGAGATGAGTCTCTCATGGGCTTTCCTGCCTAGGCTGGCTTTGATCTCAGCCTCCTAAGTAGCTAGGATGACAGGCAGGAACCACTGGTGCCCGGCCTGATACAAAACATTGTAATAGTGCTTGTACATAATGTGAGACACAGAAGGTGGCTCAGGTCATGCATTACCTCTGCTCATTCTGTTTTTTTTTTTTGGGGGGGGGGGTCAGCTGTGGGGCTTGAACTCTGGGGCTAGAGCGCTGTCCCTGAGCTTTTTAGCTCAAGGTGAGTGCTCTACCACTTAAGCCACAGTGCCACTTCCAGTTTTTGGGTGGTTTATTGGAGATAAGAGTCTCACAGACTTTCCTGCCTGGGCTGGTTTTGAACCATGATCCTCAGATCTCAGCCTCCTGGGTAGCTAGGATTACAGGCGTGAGCCACCAGCACCGGGCTCATTCATTTCTTTTGGAGTCATGTGGACACTGGCATATGCATCCTAAATGGTCCCTCATGATTACATGAAGCAAGGAAGCCTTGGGAATGAGATATTTGAAGAATTTCCTAATCCTCACAATACCCCTGTGATGCAGGTGTTTGGGGCTTGTTTTACAGATCAGAAAACGCGCAATAGATCAGATAACGGCTGGGGATTTCCCAGCTGGTGAGTGGTAGAGCTTAGATTCCTTTTCCTTGGCCTCCATGTCCCCTTTGTACTTCAAGATGAAGCAGATCTATGGCTAGTCTTCCTCTGGCCAACCATGGGTCCTCTCCTGTAGCCCCTCCCTGCTAACCCCCTGGCCACAGCTCTCTTTCCAAGAGAGGGTGAGGCTGTCCTGAGTGTGGTAGGAGGGACTCTTCTCTTGGGTTTTTCCCAGTTTGGCACTTCCTTCTCCATGGCTCACCTCAGGCCCTGGGTACCTCAGAGGCTGGTATTCTCCCAACCCCCATCATTGAGAGTCTCTAGGAGAGAAAGGTCTGACATCACTGAAGCCCCCATGAAGGCACTTGGTGTGTTTGGGATAAGTCCCTAACCACTGAGGGTGACATCACAGACAGCATCCATGTGACCCCACAGAGTTCCTCAAAGAGGATGCTCAGGCCAGAGCCTTTACCCACAGCTCAACTTGTGGCTCTGATGGCAAAATGATAGGCTGTTCTGGAGAAGGGAAAAGATGCAAATCTAATGAAAATGTATAGCTCTTCTTATGGTAGGAATCCTGGAAATAGGGCAGGCCTTAATGTACTGATTATTTCAAATACTGGCCTTGCAAAATTCTAGTGCATCTGAAGACTTTGAAAGCTCTTGTAATATTGTAACTGCAGTTGAGCCTCCCCAGAATTTTGAAGAAGGCACATCGTTGTTCAGTTTCTTGTTTTTAAGATGATGTTGCTTTAACTGGGGAAATTAAGTTCCTCCCATGTTCTAACTTGCAGGACTTGTGATTGTAGCTGTGTCTTTGAGTGCAATGATGGATTTTCAGTGAACTCATGGCAAGATTTCAGAGACTGTGTGTGGCTCTCAAACTAAACCAGTAGTAGTCTGGGTGTTACTGGTTGTAGACTTGTTGTAGACCTGGCTTAAAAGACTGTAATTTCAAACTTGAGTCCGTGAAGACGCTGGACATCAATGGCTCACACCTGTAATCCTAGCTACTCAGGAGGCTGAAATCTGAGGATCAAGGTTTAAAGCCAGCCTGGGGAAGAAAGTCCATGATATTCTTATCTCCATAACCACCAAAAAGCCAGAAGTGGAAATGTGGCTCAGATGGTAGAGTGCTAGGCTAGCCTTTAGCCAAAGTGTTCAGGGACAGCACCCAGGCCTTGAGTTCAAGCTCCAAGACCAGCACAGGAGCGTGCACACACACACACACAGAGACTTTTTGGAGTGGACAGAAATTGGAAAGCCCATTCTGAGCTGTAAAGACAGCAGGCAACTTTTCCTCTTGGAGGCCTGATTGATTTCAAATGCAGATCTTCATGTTGCACATCCATCTTAAAATACCTTTCCAATACAGATCAATTCAAAGGCCCAATTTTAGAAATTTTATTAGGGAGCAATATGATGAGTGAGCCAGGGACATGAATTTTTAATCAGCAAGTCTGTTTTCGGTGACTTGAAGACACTGCCATCATTAGCCAGGTGCCTGGGGACGCAGGCGGGGCAGCCTCTCCGATTCATAACACACTGCAGCCCGCGGCCTGTTCCAGCTGGTTCTCAGGAGCACTGATTGTTCCTGAGGATAATTCTTGTGAGTATACATCAAAGACAAAGCTGGGACTGGCAGCAGTTGTCCACTGTTTTCATAAACAGAACCAAAGACCTGGGTACATGCTCTAGGTTGCTGCTAACACAGGTTTTGCAAAGATTCAGTTTAGCTTTAGAGATCGATAGAATAGCTTGTGATTTCTCAAGCTCGGGCGTGCAAGACCTCTGCAAAGCCCTGAGGACTGCACAAAGCAGGTGCCTTACCTGGGGCATTTCCAGGGCTTTCATGATGGCTGAGAAAGAATACAGATCTCCCATGGCATCTTTCAGCTCCACTGCCACCTGGATGATCCTGTCGAGGGTGGCTGCTCGGTCCTCCAGGGTGCCCGTGCAGCCCAGAATGTCCACGGCAATCCCGATGGCCATTGTGTTGTGTCTGAGAGAGAGGAGGTCATGGTCAGCCTTGGGTCAGTGAGACTGGGAGAAAATGACACCAAATGCACCAGAAACAGGGCTGTGTGTGCCGATTGCTGTACAATGTGCTGGCAGGTCCATTTGAAAGGCTGATCTCCACGGAGGCCATCCACGAGTGGGATGTGCCAGGGCTAGACAGTCAAAAGCAAGACGCTCTCAGGGCCAAGTTCAGCCCTGGATCTGGGGACAGGAAGAGGAACTCTGGGGGCAGTGCTGCGCAATGTCTGTGGCTGCTTGGCCTCTACCCCCACCACCAGAGATCCAAAGAGACACCAGGATCCCTCCACACACACAAGGCGTCTTTGCCCTGAGGCGCCACAAGCACTGAACCACCTGGGAAAGGAAAGGCCAGAAACATGAGAGGACCATGCTTGATCCAGGAAGGAAAGGCACTCAGATGGAATTCTGCAGCCCCAATCAAGAGGCCACCATGTGAATGGAGCGGTAAAGGCAGATTGAATAGCTACTGGGCAGTAATCTGCTATCTGTTCAGACCCTAATAAAGTCAGAATCTTAATTTCCCCCAACAATCTTTCCTTTTCTCGTCTCAAACTCCATGGGTCAACCTCTCAGACCCAGGGCAGGAAGCAGGGGGAGCTTTTCTATTAGTGACAATAAAACTACTATGAATAGGGGTCAGTTGGTGGCAGGAAGCACACTTAGGCTGTAAATCCAGGCCCTGGGCCGGAATTGCCCAAATTAAATTTGTCCCAGGCTGCCGGACAAGGGCTGAAGGTAACTTTATAGCTGTCGTTATTTAAACATGTCAGGCCTTCGAAACTCTGGAATTGCATTCAGCTGTGAACGTTCACAGCTGAACGTGCAGCTGTGTGGTACACGGAAGATGCTTTTGGCTCCGTGCAGCTGGGGTAGATGGCTGGGGTGCTAAGCGAAAAGTCGAGGGTGTTTCATATTTGAGTCTCAAAGGGAAGAGAATGATGTCATTCCATAGCTCAGGACTCTGTGGCCCTGGCCTTTACTTAGCACACGCTAATCAAACCACACCCTAGGTACAGCAGGATCACCCTACAAGTCATTCATTCTTGGGCGGGAAACAAGCTGAGTGAGACTCCCCACAAACAGCAGTCAGGGAGAAGAAAAAGCAAAGGATGTTAACAAAAGTGCAGTCAGGAAACAGCCAAGAGAAAAGCTCCAAACCTGACTACAGCCTGGCCCAGAACCCACGCCCACATTCACCCAACAATACAGAGAAATAAGGCTCAGGTTCATTAGACCTCGAACCTGGGGACATTTCAGGCCATGCTGTCTCTCAGGAGAGGTGGGAGCAAAGGAGGAGTGACCATTCCAAACAACAGACAGGAAGTCAGTGTAACAGAGGCCAGGTCCCTGTACAAGGAAAAAAAGGCTAACCTCTAGAAGCTTTCTTAGGAAAAGTAGGGCAGTTTGGAAGTCAGGTCTGTAATTTCCCACAGCCTTACACCCTGGGCGTGACCGAACAAAGTCTGCTGGCCTCTTTCTCCTTTGTCCTCCCTCACCATCCTGATGTGGTTGACTGGAGGCATCTACGGCTATGGGGCCTGGGTGCTATCCCTGAGCTCTTTTGCTCAAGAGCGCTCTATCAGTTTGAGCCACAGCCCCACTTCCAGTTTTCTAGTGGTTAATTGGAGGTAAGAATTTCATGGGACTTTCCTACCTGGTTTGGCTTTGAACACCGATCCTCAGATCTCAGCCTCCTGAGTAGCTAGGATTACAGGTGTGAGCCACCAGTACCTGGCTCTAGGTTACTCTTTTGATTAAAGACCTACATTTAACACCTAAAGTATATGTTTACCATTTGTGGTATTCATTCAGTGTGAAATGCAGCATTATCTTTCCGAAGCTACCAACCATTAGCACGTGCAACTTACACTTAAAGTAGGAAATTTAAGTGTTCTTCCCCAGGTAAATTAACCACATTTTAGGCGCTCAATAAGCCAACTACCTGTGCCTAGCTACTTCTATGACTGCCAGCTCTATTACGGATATTCCTGTCCTGTTCTGTCCTTCCCTGTCCTTGCCTAGCCAGTGCTGTGATCAAGAATATAGAAAGCTCTGGGGACACCAATCACGGTCACTGGGTCATTGAGCAGAAAACTTAAGATATCTTGCCCAAATTAGCTGCGTGTGTGTGTGTCATAGACTTTCGTGTGTGTGTGTGTGTGTGTGTGTGTGTGTGTGTGGTCAAAAAGGCCAGTTCTTGTGACAATAGGTAAATCTAGTCTTTGGTCATGGAGCTTGAACTCAGGGCTGGGGTGCTATCTCTGAGCTTTTTCACTCAAGGCTAGTATGCTACCACTTTGAGCCACAGCACCACTTCCAGTTTTCTAGTGGTTAATTGGAGATCAGAGTCTTACAGACTTTTCTGTCCGGGCTGGCTTTGAACTGTGGTCCTCAGATCTCAACCTCCTGAATAGCTAGGGTAACAGGTGTGAGCCACTGGTGCCCAGGCCAAGTCTTTTTTTTTTTTTAATTGTGAAAATACTGTACAGAGGGGTTACATAGGCAAGATATGGCTAAGTCTTTTTTTAGGTGGGGGGGAAAATCAGGTCGTGGGGCCTGAACTCTGGGCCTGAGCACTGTCCCTCAGCTCTTCAGCTCAAGGCTAGCACTCTACCACTTGAGCCACAGCACCACTTCCGGCCTTTTTTTTCCTACTTATGTGGTGCTGAGGAATCGAACCCAGGGCCTCATGCATGCAAGGCAAGCACTCTACCACTGAGCCACTTTCCCAGCCCGGCTAAGTCTTACACCTTTTAAAAATATGCCTCACTCAGGTACTCAGGGCCTAAGGCTTTCTGAGCCCTGGCACCCCTGACCTCTGACCTCCCTCATTAGTCCATCCCTTAAAGAAATCGTTGAGAATTTGTTCTTCCCAACCTTTCCCAGCTCCCATTTAATTTCTCAAGCAACCTTAAGCTCCAAAGTGACAAAGGCATGCATTTCATGAGTCAGCCAGAGGCGGTAGAAGATCTCCGAGGCTCCAGGCCGGCCAGATAGCAGCAGAAGGCCAGTCTCACCATCCACCTTGGTGTTCTTGTCACTGGCTCATCTAGGTGTTACTCCAGGAAATCTCTAGCGTGGGCTTCTGATAAGAGCCTCCAGTACCAAGCACAAACCTTGGACTGATAGGCCCCTGGGGCAGGGGCCTGCACGGGGTTGAAAGGATGGAAATTCAGCCAGCGTTGCTCACCTTTCCATGATGTCCAGGCGCAGCTGGTGCCCGTGAGGCAGGGTGATGAGTTCCAGTCCTGAGCTCACGCCCATGTTCCTCTTCATCTCTTCTGAGACTTCGAGTATCCTAGCAACCTGTGGGAGGCCAAGTTCAAATTCACTGGGTTAGAAGAGGGGATTTCTTTCCATGTGATGAACCTTTTTTTTTTTTTTCTTTGTCGGTCATGGAACTTGAACTCTGGGCCTGGGCACTGTCCCTGTACTCTTCAGCTCAAGCTGAGCACTCTACCGCTTGAGCCACAGCATCACTTCCAGTTTTCTAGTGGTTAATTGGAGATAAGAGTCTCCTAGCTGGGCACCAGTGGCTCACGCCTGTAATCCTAGCTACTCAGGAGGCTGAGATCTGAGGATCACGGTTCAAAGCCAGTCCGGGCAAGAAAGTCCGTGAGACTCTTATCTCCAGTAAACCACTAGAAAACCGGAAATGGCGCTGTGGCTCAAGCGGTAGTGTGCTAGCCTTGAGCTGAAGAGCGCACGGACAGCACCCAAGCCCAGAGTTCAAGCCCCACAACCAACAAAGAGTCTCACAGACTTTTCTGCCTGGGGGCTGGCTTTGAACCATGATCCTCAGATCTCAGCCTCCTCAGTAGCTAGGATTACAGGCATGAGCCACTGGCGCCCCGCCATGTGATGAATCTTGCTGGTGCTGGTGCCAGCTAGATTCATCACATGGCAAGGAATCCCCTAACCTGGACCACTGGAGAGAGACTTTAATTGTTGAATGTATGAACAACTGTGCCTAAAAGTATGATTCTTATATGGTATTTGGGTTAACTTAAACACACACACACAGAGAGAGAGATAAAGCTGAAAGGGAAACTCCTAAACTGGTCTACAGGTTTGGTATGTGTTATCCAGCAAGAGAACAATTTAGTTGCTTGAAGCTGGATCCTGCCAGCAGCAGGAAGGCCCTCCCCTGCAGAGGAGCAGCAGGAAGGCCCTCCCCTGCAGAGGAGCAGCAGGAAGGCCCTCCCCTGCAGAGGAGCAGTGGAATCCCACCCACACTGGCTGCGTCAGCCCCAGGCTTTGCCATTCATGTTCTCACTGCACAGCCATGGCTGGCTGCTATTGCCCTTAACGATGCCTCTCCTGGGTGCACTCACATGCTGTATGTCTGGAAACTATTAAAAACGTATGTAGTGATTAAAAACCCTATGGTCTCAAACATACCCATGAGAGGGTTTCCTTGAAAGAAAATTTTCTTGTTCCAAGCAGCCCTCACCACATCTCGATTCTACTCTGCAATCCCAGTTTCTCAAAACCAGGCACTTAGTTGGCCATCAGCTGATACGCTATACCAGAGTCAGCTCCGAAAATGGGGCTAAGCAAATCTGGACAGTTCCTCGCCTGCATCTGGTGGGCTGTCTTCCAGTATAATGATCCCAGGCATCTGAGCAGTGCAGATGTGCATAATAGACCACAAAGGAACATCTGGAAGTCCAGCTGGTGTTATTAACCCTGACCTTTTAACTTCTGTGGTTGAGCAAAGGAAAACTGCTGTCCACCCTGGGAGAGAAGCCTGCAGGACTGGCTGCCCAGGGGCGGACATCAGAATGCAATGCAGAATCCACATTGCATTCTCAATTCTGCCCACTGGCCTCAGTTTCCCCTTTTGTAACACAACTACTAAGTTCACCTCTCTTGAGGACTTTGCAAATGAGTTAAAAAAAAAGTCCAACCCCCCAAAAGCTATTTGAAAATCTAAGTTGTGACTCACTACTGGGAAGGGAAGGTTCTGGCTGAATCTTAGCAAAGAGACTTAACACCTTAGCACCCTGCCTAGGGGCAGCTCCAAAAACAGGCCTCACGTGTGAAAAGAGGAAAAAAGAAAAAGCCCCTAAGCTGAGCCACTGTAGATGGACTGTAATTGTTTTTTGTTGTTGCTTTTTTTTGGTCGGTTGTAGGGCTTGAACTTAGGACCTAGGTGCTGTCCCTGAGCTCTTTTGTTCAAAGCTAGTGCTCTACTACTTTGAGCCACAGCTCCACTTGCCAGTTTTCTGGTGGCTCATTGGAGGTAAGAGTCTTACAGACTTTCCTGCCTGGGCTGGCTTTGAACTGAGATCCTCAGTTCTCAGTCTCCTGAATAGCTTAGGGTTACAGGCATGAGCCACCAGTGCCCAGCTTGAATTTGTGAGCATCCATGTTTGAAAGAAGGATTTTTGTTTTGTTTTGTTTTTGGGTC